CACACACACACACACACACACACACACACACAATCTCTCAGTCTCTCTCTCATTCGGAATCCCCTTTGCTATTCTCGTCGTCGGGCGACTCTGAACCGCGGGCATCTGAGTCGGGGTCGTCCTCCGAGACTTGCAGTTTGCAGGGCCTGCCACGACCACGTTCCGACTTCGGTGCAGTTTCGTGCCCCGTCTTCTCCTTGCAAGGCCTCCCACGACGACGACGTGGTTTGTGGGGGACGTCATTCACCGGAGCCTTTCTCTTTCGCCCCGCCCTGCTTTTCCATATGTTGTCGTGTTGGGCATCCTCATTTTGTGCTGGGTAAGGGGGTCTGCCGGAGTGGACTGCTGCTCCTTGGAGACCACGCACCGTTGATCCGAGTGTTTCTGGCTGCTCCGCAACCACGGCCTGCTGGTCCTCCTGTGGTTCTTGCGGTGCAGGCTGGTGCGGTGCCGATGGGCGGGGTCTTCGTGTGTAAACCGTGGGTGGTGCTGGTTCCTGCACTTCCTCTCCCCCTTGCTGCTGAGTTTTGTCCACATCCTCCATATCATCTCCCTCTCGCGGTGAACTTTTTTCCTCTTCTTGCTGCACATTTTTTTCTCCAACTGCTTCAATATCCACTCCCGCATGCTGCAAACGCCCTTCATTTTTTGCACGCACGGCCGCGTCATCGACCTCCATGTTGTCCACCCTTTCATCCTTTTCCTCGCTATGCTGCTCCTTATGCTGGCTGACCTGTTTGCTCTGTCTCTCTCTCTCCCTCCGGGTGGGGACAGCAGCACGGCGAGCCTCCTCCTCACACATCCGCCTCCGAACCAAAGCGGCATTCCGGTCTGCCATAACCTTGGCCCGAGCTGCTTCCTCCTCGTCTGCATCAGGCATAGGGTGCGCCAAGAACTCGATATCAGTATCCAGTCTGTCGATGGGCTCTGACGGCAGCACCTCCGCCTCCTTCTCTCGCCTCCCAAGCCTCCGACCTACGTACGTAGTGGCTGGCACTGCCGGCTTGCTCCCCAACTCGAAATTTGAGTCCTCCATAATGTCATCCTCACCGTCACCCTCCTCGGAAGTGGACTTGTTCCAATACTTCCCCTTCCACACCAGATCCTCAAGATCGCTACTCCCACTTGAGTCGTCATTCAGCAGGCGCTTCGGAATCCGGTTTTTGGGAGTCTTCTTCAGTCTCTTCTGCCTCTTTTCCTCCTCGATATTATCCGCTGGCTCATCCTCCGTGGGCTCCTCGATTGCTCCATCTTCCGCTGTCGGCTCCATCAACGGCTCGAAGAAGGATCCCCAAACATCAACGTAGCCATTGTCCTTGCTATTTGGAACACGCAGCAACTGCATGTTCCAGTGAATGTAAACCAGCTTCTCCAAGGACTTCGGCGAGAGGCTGTTTCTGCACTTCGAATGGACAAAGTCCATCGACGCCCAGTTTCGCTCCGCAGGTGTCGCCGTGCTCCACATTCCCAACACGGTGATGGCGATCTCCTGCAAAGCTGGAACATCCCCACCGTGCAAGGTCCACCAGTCCGCAGGCGTACGTCGCATTGCTTGCTTGATGGCACCTGGTGTCCACATGTGTTCATCTGTCCTCACTTCCCCTTCCACATGCTCTCTCAAAAACTCGTAGAGATGATCCCGCATGTCCATGTGCGGCTTTGAATCCCACTCCGCTCCGATCTGCCTGCAAAAGAAGCGCGTTGCGTTGTGCACGAGGGCGTTGTCCAGGTCGTTGAGCCAGCCTGCATCTCTCCTACGTGGATCCAACAAAAACGCAGCTGCATGAACGGGCTGACGCATCATCTGCACGCGGTCCTTGACCTTGTACATTACATCCTCCCTCTCCTTCTTCGTGAGTACGATGTTTGCCAACTTCCTTGCAATGAGATCGTCAAACTCCACGAGGTTGGTGGGAGAAACTCCTTCCCTGTCCATCCTCTTCAGGAGGCTGTACACCGGCTCCATAATTGCCACAATTTTCCTGACTTTGGCCCACCAATTCTCTGACCTCACAGTGTAGTAGACAAGGTCGGCTTTTTTCTGCAGCTTCTCTCCCGACCATCTCAATGCCCTCCACTTTGTTGCAGAACCTCCGTCCACCATCTCATTCAACACTTCCGCCCTGTCCTCCAGCCTGTGCAGCATCTGGTACACCGACCCAAACCGGACCTCTGTCGGGCGCAGCAATGACAAGGAGTCATCAATGGACATCATGAGACCGTGCGTGGCATGGTGGTTCTTGATGAACTTCACGATCGTGTTCGCCGTCTTCACCGTGTCCTTCACCCAAGGCAAACTGCTTAGGTCCTTCAACAACAAACTGCAGCAATGCGCTCCACAAGGCACCCACAGTATCCTTGCAATGTCTCTGTCTGTCCGCCTCTCCAAGATCTGCGCTGCCTTCTTGTTGACCTCAGCGTTGTCTGTGCAGATCGCGTTGATCCGTTTCAGCCCGATCTCCCGCATCACCTGCTCCCACAACTTTGCCAATGGTGCTGCGTTTTTCTTCCTCCCAGTCATATAAACCGTGGTCACCAAAACTGCTCCTTTCTCCCCCGCTGCTAGGAAATTCATGACAGGCCAGTTCTTGCGATCTGTCGATCCGTTTGTGATGAATGTGCAACAGGTTTTGTCCCAACAAGCAGTCAAGGGGTTGATCGACTTCTGCACCTTCAGGAAGATGTAGTCCAACATGACAGTCCGCATATGCTTGTAGGTAGGCAACTTCACCTTCGGCTTTCCACTGGCAACCTCCAAGTAGGCGTCATGAAGAGCCTGCGTGGTGTCGAAGTTCAGGAAGTTGAAAGCAATTCCAGCCCTGAACATTGCTTCCGCCCACGCAATATCTAACTTCTTCTGTGCATTGTTGTCAATCCACTTTCTTATTGTGGTCTGCGTCTTCACCACCACAACTTTGGCACAAGCCTCCCCTCCACCGGTGCCATCATCGCCCCTTGCTGCAGCTTCGTCATCTGTTGTTGCGATCGGTGCAGCAACTTGTGGAACAGACTGCCCTCGGACAGGCGGAGGCACCGGCCAAGACGACGGATCTTCAGCATCTGATGCATTCTCCGCAACCTCCTCGCCCCCCTCCGCGCCCTTGGAGAGTCCTCTGAAGTTCTGCAGCATGTACAGGGTGTTCTTGTCTTTGGGGTTAACCTTGCCTCCCTGAGCAACAAGCTCATCCACAATCTCCCCCGTCCGAAAAGCACACGGTTTCTGCACTTTCAAGAAATGGTCAACCGCCTTCGTTGACGACCCCTTGAAGACCTTGGAACAAAGGCGACACCTCAACCAGTACTCCCCGCGTTCTGCTGGGAGTGCCACCTGTCCCTGTTCGACCAACTTCCAGACTGCATTCTTCTTCAGCAGCTTCTTATGCTCGTCCTCGTCCTTAGCTTGAAAGAGACTAGGATCAGTGGCGGGTGTCGCCTCCTTGTTGATGGCCGTTGTTGTTGACTGCGCTGACTTGCTTGACGAAGGCTTGTCGGGAACATGTTGCACTTGCTCTTTCCCCTTGACTGCACTGCTACTGCCTAGCCTGCGTCCTGTCGGCCCAGCCCCGCCACTTTCGTCACCCGCCACGCTGTCGCCCGCGGTGTAGTGGGAAAAAAATAATAACCTATAAGTTACGGATCTGTGGAGCAATGTGGGTATGGGGTGTTACTCAGGGAGGAGGAGGAGGAAGAAGAACATGACGATGAAGGAGGAGAAGAAGAGGAGGAGGAGGAGGAGGAAGAAGAAGAAGAAGCGCGCAAGGGAGATGAACGAGCTTCGGGGAAAAAAAAATTAATAACGGCTATGGCTAACGGACGAGGAGGAAAAGAAGAGGAGGAGGAGGAAGAAGAAGGTGACGAAGAAGAGGAGTGGAGGAAGAAGAAAACGAAGAGGAGGGAGGAGAAGAAGAGGAGGAGGAGGGGGAGGAAGCAGCGCATAGGGAAGATGGATGTTCGGGAGAAAAAAAAAAAAAAATGGCTGAAACGTTGGCTATGGCTAACGGACGAGGAGGAGAAGAAGAGGAGGAGGAGGAGGAAGACGACGACGAAGAAGAGGAGTGGAGGAAGAAGAAAACGAAGAGGAGGGAGGAGAAGAAGAGGAGGAGGAGGAGGAGGAGGAGGAGGAGGTGGAGGAAGCAGCGCATAGGGAAGATGGATGTTCGAGAGAAAAAAAAAAAAGGCTGATACGTTGGCTATGGCTAACGGACGAGGAGGAGAAGAAGAGGAGGAGGAGGAGAAGAGGAGGAGGAGGAAGAAGATGACGAAGAAGAGGAGGAGGAGTGTAGGAAGAAGAAAACGAAGAGGAGGGAGGAGAAGAAGAAGAGGAGGAGGAGGAGGAGGAGGAGGAGGAGGAGGAGGAGGAGCAGCGCACAGGGAAGATGGAGGTTCGGGAGGGGAAAAAAAAAACAACGGCTGATACGTTGACTATGGCTAACGGACGAGGAGGAGAAGAAGAGGAGGAGGAGCAGAGGAGGAGGAGGAGGAAGAAGATGAGGAAGAAGAGGAGGAGTGGAGGAAGAAGAAAACGAAGAGGAGGGAGGAGAAGAAGAGGAGGAGGAGGAGGAGGAGGAGGAAGCAGCGCACAGGGAAGATGGATGTTCGGGCAGAGAAAAAAAAAAAACGGCTGATACGGTGACTATGGCTAACGGACGAGGAGGTGTTATGAACTTGGTTGTCTGACGAATTTTATCGCCACTCACACACAGACAGTCTCACACATGCCCATACATAAGAGAAGGGGAGAGAGGAGACAGAGTCCAAACTGCACACAGGTGGAAATAAGCAGCGGAAGACAATCATGCACAGATGGGGAGAAGACAGTGTTTCTCACTCTCTGACACAACTCCCAACAACCAATCACAAGAAAGAACCTGCGAAGATCACAATCGGAAATCACACTGATGATGAACCACTCAAAACAACTATTGTAACAGAGTTTGTTCCAGTATCTCACCACTCTCAGAACTCACACCCCACTCACTATCCTACACCCAGTTAGTAGCGCCACATTAGAACAGCCTCCCAGAGGCCAGCGCCAACCACCCTGATGAAGAACAGGTCCTGCGATGAAGTCTTCGGTGCCAATGGACAACTCTGACGAAGGAACAGGCAGCTATGGCTGCCACCACCCACGAGTACACAGTGTAGAGCCTCAATACAGCCCGGCCAGMCGCAGATACCCCCAGGGGTAGATGCGCTGAGGATGCCCCAGCTATGGCAGACTCAGACTGGGCCGGCTATGGCTGCTGTCAACGGTGCGGTCTCAGGATGCCGCCTGCAGACAGTCACCACCACCAACTTGCTTGGCTTCTTCCACGCTGCTTCGCGAGAAATGAACTGCCAAAAAGTCCTGAACCGATGGGCCTAACCTATCTATAGACTACACTAGACCTAGACCGGACTGACTGACCGACTTGTACCGTTTCTGTTTCGGCCTCTCGGCGTCTACCGGACCCGGCTATAGGCTATAGGACCGTCTATCAGTATAGGCCAGTTAGGGCCTGTCTGTCCTAGGGGCAGCCCGGCCTGCTATACGCAGTTAGGGTAGCTGTAGGAATTCGGGTTAGTACTGGGCCCTTATTTTCCCAGATCTGCAGATATGTCCCTCACGAATTTCCTTACAGGTAGGTCTCTCGGTTAGCCCTCAACCAAACAACATCACGAATCTGACCTAAACTAGGACCCGACCGAGGCGAGGTCCACGCTTCACCCTCGGCCTACTGTACAGTCCACCGAGAATCTGCAGGTTTCATTACAGAGGAGAAGAAGAGGAGGAGGCGGAGGAAGAAGATGACGAAGAAGAGGAGGAGTGGAGGAAGAAGAAAACGAAGAGGAGGGAGGAGAAGAAGAGGAGGAGGAGGAGGAGGAAGCAGTGCACAGGGAAGATGGATGTTCGGGAGAAAAAAAAAAAAAAAACGGCTGATACGTTGACTACGGCTAACGGACGAGGAGGAGAAGAAGAGGAGGAGGAGGAGAAGAGGAGGAGGAGGAAAAAGATGACGAAGAAGAGGAGGAGTGGAGGAAGAAGAAAACGAAGAGGAGGGAGAAGAAGAGGAGGAGGAGGAGGAGGAGGAAGCAGCGCACAGGGAAGATGGATGTTCGGGAGAAAAAGAAAAAAAAAAAGGCTGATACGTTGGCTACTGCTAACGGACGAGGAGGAGAAGAAGAGGAGGAGGAGGAGGAAGAAGATGACGAAGAAGAGGAGTGGAGGAAGAAGAAAATGAAGAGGAGGGAGGAGAAGAAGAGGAGGAGGAGGAGGACGAGGAAGCAGCGCACAGGGAAGATGGATGTTCGGGAGAAAAAAAAAAAAAAAAAACGGCTAGTACGTCGGCTATGGCCAACGGACGAGGACGAGAAGAAGAGGAGGAGGAGAAGGAGGAGGAGGAAGAAGACAATGACGAAGAAGACGGAAGAGGAGGAGGAGGAGGAGGAGGGAGAAGATGATGACGAAAAAGAGGGAGGAGAAGGGTAGGAGGAAGAGGGGGAGAAGACGACGAAGAGGAGGGAGGAGAAGAAGAGGTGGAGGAGGAGGAGGAGGAGGAGGAGGAGGAGGAGGAGGAAGAAGCAGCGCGCAAGAAAGATGGATGTTCGGGAGAAAAAACAAAAAAAAAAATGGCTAATACGTCGGCTATGGCCAACGGACGAGGACGAGAAGAAGAGGGGGAGGAGGAGGAGGAGGAAGAAGACAATGACAAAGAAGACAGAAGAAGAGGAGGAGGAGGAGGGAGAAGATGATGACGAAAAAGAGGGAGGAGAAGGGTAGGAGGAAGAGGGGGAGAAAGAAGGCGACGAAGAGGAGGGAGGAGAGGAGGAGGAGGAGGAGGAGGAGGAGGAGGAGGAGAAGGAGGAGGAGGAGGAGGGAGAAGCAGCGCGCAAGAAAGATGGATTTTCCGGGGTGGGGAGGGGGGGGGAGGAACGGCTATGGCTAACGAACGAGGAGGAGAAGAAGAGGAGTAGGAGGAGGAGGAGGAGGAGGAGGAAGAAGATGACGAAGAAGAGTGGAGGAAGAAGAAAACGAAGAGGAGGGAGGAGGAGAAGAGGATGAGGAGGAGGAGGAGGAAGAAGAAGCAGCGCACAGGGAAGATGGATGTTCGGGAGAAAAAA